GTAGCCATTGTCCATACTCGTCGGCCAAGTTTAGGTAAGCCAGGCACTTGACAGTTCCTAGTTACAAACTCATTTACTTTATCTTCTATCCTACCAATGTTTAGGTGTTGTATTGATCTATGTATCACTAGAGATAGGAAAAGCGCTTGCTGCTATGACAATGGCTATCGTCACTGTTCTCTATGATCGAGACAAGGACTGTGCTGTGTTGGTTATACCTGATTCTGATTTCATTGAGTGAAATTACGGCTGTTCAGGGGAAAGACCGTGGAAGGGGGATTCCGGAAGTCCTGGATAATATCTTGTCCCGATATTATTTCAGAAGCGAATGCAGTACATTCAATTTCTCGCCGGTAGAGCGATTCCGGTTCTTCTGGTTTCTCACCTCTAAAGCTGCTCTGGGAATGTTCCTTTGCTTAGTAGCCATGGCAGTAAGTTTGAAGTTTACTTATAGCAAAATTGGGTGCACTCCATTGTGTTCTCTGGAGTCAGAAAAGGATGGATAGTAGGCTTTGCTGGTCTGCATGCGCTTAGTAACTTTCTTGTTCAAAGGGATGTAGTTTTTGCCTATGCCTCACGAGCTTAGGAGCACCGGGGTGGGTTGACTGATTAAGTGGTGCAAAAGCTGGGTTGGAAAAAGAATCGAGCACAGTTGACCATTGTGTTTTGATGTCTCTCCCCACCTACTTAGACACAAACTTCATTCCCCTGGCTAAGAAACGTTCCCAAGCACCGATACAGGTCTACAAAGTCGACTATCCGTCCTTCTCTACTCTCCAAATTATCCGAAAAGGGAATTGTTGAATGTTTCAAAGTTAGTAATTTAAGGCCATATTAAATACTTAACTGCTTTCAGCACTCACCGCAGCTTCGCGACTACAACGCTGAAGACGATACGGTCCCATTGAATTTCTGATCAACATCAACAAACAAGAAGTCAACAAAAGGAGCATTTTACTGTAGATCTATAGCAGAAAGAGAGGTTATTAGTGTTGTAGTTCCTCCCAAAATTCTTTTATATTCCCAGTATATCTCCACGAAATAGTAGGCTCATGTCCTCAATCCTATCTGTCCCCTTTATGTAGCTGTATCAATGTTTTTTCTAATTTTTGATTTGAGTTCAGCCGCAGCCCTTTAACTCAGTGTTAACTCAGTTTCAATCGAAGTCACGGAGACTTCGTAGAGATTCTTCAAATCATCTCGGGTTTGATTACTGTATCATATGTTATATGCTATACCATAGTGTTGCTATGTACGATATTAACAGATCATTTTAATCTAATTAAATTGTTACAATAATGAGTTTACTCTTTTGTAAAAAAAAAGTTGGTAAACGATCCATCATTATCCTCCAACTGAGCTGCCTCGTAATCGACAGCCACACCACTGGCGGGGGAGCAAGGGGATATAGCGGAGGAAGGGGGAACAGAGGTGGGAGGGGGGGATTCTTTGAATAGTCTGATTACAGGGTTTGTATAAACACTGGATATCCCCCTAGTGAGCCTCATTCTCGGTAGGATACTTTTGATTATGTCTCGCTCTACCATCTAACCTCAAAACCCGCTGGTGGAGGAGTCAATGGGACTTGGTTCAAGCAATGCATAGGAGCTAGTCTTATTCGTGATGTACAACACACTAGATCAGAGTTGTATCCATCGGTAACTGGCATCATTGCGACGTTTCAACCTTTTCGCTTCAACCATCTGAAGGGATCGATTTGGCCATCAGCCCGTGCTCCATCTCGCCAGCTGAACGGAGGCTAATAGGTGGGGGTAAAATCGGTACCATACTGTAATGTAGTGACAAATCCTACCAAAGCAGAGTGGTAGCCCGGGCCAAAAGGGTCCTACAGACCTGAAGTCGGGTCCGTCCGAACTAATGGACAAAGTGATCCTGCACTTCGGTCTGTGGGACTGAGACATCACTTTATTAGCATAGGAAGCGACTTCCTTGACTCATGAGCCAATGAGCAAATTGCTGTTGAATAGCCTTTGTAAACAATTTATTGGCGACGAACAGTTGTCAAATCCCCCATGGAGCATTTGTGAAGGCAGTTCTTTATCGTATCAGTCAGCATGTAAGGAGATGTATTTACAA